TGCCTGACCCTTGCAGTCGCGGATCAGAGTGAGGGGGCGCCTCGGGTGCCTCGCCCTGGTTCCGCGTGCTCGAGCGCGATGCAAAAGAAGGCTTCTTCTTTTTCCCCGAAGCAGTCCGCCCGCCGCCGTCTCATGCCAAACGCTGTGGGTGGGCCGTGGGTCGGGGCGTCGGCTGCTCGCGAGGCCAGGGAGCCGATGCACAGAGGCCCGCCGCGGGCGCCGACTCTTTTTGTTCCGCGCCGCCGCTCCGCCGTGGGCGGCATGGCTGGACCTACGTAAACGGCGTTCCGGCGATTTCGTGGGCCGTTTTCGTTCCGACTTCGTTTTGCAGTAGAAGTGGATGGAAGACAAAACGAGGGCGAACGAAGACAAATCGAGAAACGAAAAACATCGGATCTCCGCCGCCGAACGAGGCGGCAATGGCCGCATTTTGGGGAGGGCACCTCCCCCAGTCCATGTTTGCGCGCCCCCGATTTCAGCGCCACCAGTCCGCCATGGGCGCAAGTTGGGCCTGTCCCTCTACAGGAGGAAGATTCCCAAATAGTACATGAGCAGTATAGGGACAATTTGTGTTTTACTCGATTTGACGATTTTGGAGTATTTGTTTGATTATTTAATCGCTTCGCTCATTCCGCCGGCCCATACAGTCTCATGTCTGCCGTTTGCCCGAGGGCCTGGTGTCAATGCGGCGCTTTGGGGGTTCCTGGGGCCGCTTGGGGGACTCCTGGGGCGCTCGGGGGGGCATTTGGGGGGCCTCCTGGGGCCGCTTGGGGGACTCTTGGGGGCCTCCTGAGGGCCCCGTGGGGGCCTCTTGGGGCCTCTTAGGGGCCTCGTAGGGGCTTCTTAGGGCCGAGGGCTCGAAATGTTGTTTCGTGTTCCCTCTCTGGGGCCCCTTTGGGGGCGTTCTTGGGGCCCTCTTGGACCGTTTTGGAGGCTTCTTGGGCCGTCTTCGAGCCCTCTTGGGCCATCTTGGGGCCCTCTTGGGTGCCTCTTGGGCCCTCTTGGGGCGATCTTGGGGGCCTCTTGGGCCGTCTTGGGGCGTCGGGAAGCCGAAAAGGTGGAAGCTCCAAAATCTCTCAAAAACCTATGGAAAAACAATGATTTTTGCCTCCGGGGGCCCTATTGGGAGTGCTCTTGGAGGCCTCTTGGGGCGTCTGGGGGCTATCTTGGGCGTCTTGGAGCGATCTTGTGGCATGTCGGACCCCTCGTGTACCATCTTGGGGGCCTCTTGGGGGCCTCTTGGCCTTTCTTGGGGCTCTCGGGGACGTCTCGGAGCCCTGTTGGTGCGCTCATGGAGCGCTCGGGGGGACCCGGCCGGGACCTGGTCGGGGTACTTTTCGTCCGGGGACCCCCAGGGGCCGCCCCGCGCGCGCGAACTAGAAAATTGTTAACCAGTTACCGGAGATCTTAGCACGCCTCTGGCCCGTTGGGCCGGCGAATTTTTGATTTCTCGCCCAAGATCCTCCTGTAGGAGGAAACGCCCGACCGAATGCCAAATCCATGGATCGCTGATCCATGTTTGCGCGCCCCCGATATTCCAGCGCCACCAGTCCGCCATGCAGTGGGGGCCCACGCCAAGAAACACCCTGCTTGCCTCCAGGGTGCCCTGGGTTTCTTGGGTTTCGATGGTTTTGCAGTGGAAAGCGTGACGCTCCCGCGCCAAAAAGTCGAGGACGTCTTGAGGTCTCAGGGTTGGGTTCCTTGTGGGATGTTTCTTGTGGTCGAGCCCCCACTTCAGGTGCCGAGCGAAGTGAACCCCACCCCCTCCCTCATAAATCGTGGTGGGGGGGTTGGGTTCGCATGTGGCCCCATCTGTGGGCGGCATTTTTTCCCGTCAATCGGGTGTGGGTGTGTCGGAACCGGGCACCCGGGGAGCGGAGGCCCGCGAGGCGCCAGCACCCGCCGGCGTGGACAAGGGAGGGGCGACGGAGGAGGGGCTCTTTTCGCTTCCGGGGCGCCTTCGAGGAGGGAGGGGGGAGGGAGGAGGAGGAGGAGGAGGAAGACGAGGAGGAGAGGGAGGAGGAGGAGGAGGAAGAAGAAGACGAATACGAAGACGAAGACGAAGAAGAAGAAGAAGACGAATAAGAAGACGAACGCGAATAATAATAATAATAATAATAATAATAATAATAATAATCATCATCATCATCATAATAAGAAGAAGAAGAAGAAGAAGAAGAATACGACGAATACGACGAATAATAACAATAATACTAATACGAAGAAGAACACTAATACGAAGAATAATAAGAATACTAATGCTAATAAGAAGAATCAGAATAATCATACCAAGAAAAATAATACCAACCATAATAATACGAAGACTAAAAATAGTAGTACGAATAAGAAGACGAATAATACTAATACTAATAAGAAGAAGACGAATAATAAACAAGGATACGAATAATAATAATAATAATAATAGGAGGAGGAGGAGATTGAGGAGGGAGGAGGGGAGGAGGAGAGGGAGGAGAGGGCGGAGAGTGAGGAGGAGGAGGAG